CAACCAATAAAACGTGAAAGGGCTGATAGTTAAGGGGGGCTGGAGGGAGGGAGGGAATAACTTTCTGGTGGAAACAGCCATTTGAAAGGAATCCTTTAAAAGAAATCTGAAAGATAAACTCTGTGTGCTTAATGTGGAACCAAAATGTTTATTTTGTAAATTTTTCACTTTCAAAAGTTTAAAATGAAAATATGCTTTTCCAGTAAAAGTAGAAGTATATTTATATTACTATTTCTTGCATGTTTGCTGATTACACTAATTATTCAAAATTAACTGCTATTAAACTATAATGGAAATCTGAAGTGGTTTTGTTTGTTCTTTTTCTTTACTAAAATAATTTTTTTAAAATATATGTTACATGTTATTGTATGTTTTATTTTTATTTTATAAAATCCTCATATAAAAATGTTCTCTGATACAGATTTGAAGTGCAGTGAGACTCAGCAGCACTTTATCATTCTATCCTTATATCAGTATAGTTGGTGCTATGGTTTTCATTCATTTGATCTGCTTAATGTGGTCTGAGTCCTTCCTCTCGTTCTTGTGTGCGTGTGTGTAAGTATGTTTGTTTGTTTTATGTGTGCGTGTGTGTTCCCACTACAGTGTTCAATGTCATTTATCTCAGTATAGAAGAACTGGAGCTGATATTGATTATGCTTTGTTAGATTTTGAAATTCCTTTGTAAATGTGTAAAGCCTGTAAACCTCTACCGTTCCCAGCAGCTTAAGGGAATCATCCTTCCTCTGACCACATAATTGTTAAATTGTGCATGCAAAATGGCTTGAGGATATTCTGTCCCCTTTCCAGCAGGTTATCAGGGAAAACTTGCCAGAGAACATTGTGTTGTTTATATATCCTCTAGGTTAACAACTCAAAGGTCAACAGTTGCCAAAAGCAGTTTCACTTCGTAACTACTACTTTTCCCAAGCTCTGCAACCTGCCTCACCAGTGATCCTTATCATTTATTAGTGAAAGCGTATATGTGCAGCTTCTAGACCTCTACCCATAGGCAAGTAATCTTGCTTTGCTGAAATATTCTGTTCATTTTCCTATATAATTAATCATGATGATTAATTACCTGCATAAGCAGATATTACACGTGAATATACTAAGCTTACATTGTAATATTACCGGTTTCTTTCCTAAAACTTCACACTGAATCCGTCTGTAGTGAAAGTCGATTGCCTGTAAGAAAGTTTTCACTGGTCTGGATTTAATCACTTTCCTTCTGCTAAGAACAGAGTTGTTTTTGCCTTTTCAAGTTAAAAAAAATTATTTTACTAATTTCTCTAGATCACAAGATAAGAGTATTATCAAATATTTTAATTATGTTGGTCTTAAAGAGTTTTACCTTGTTCTGCAAAAGCCTGATATCTCCCTATTGATTTAAAGGAGTCACTCGTCTTGTGTGCTGACGATATTGAGTTTGCAATCAGGTGCATCATATTTTGGTGGGGGGAGGAGGGCTTTGTCTTTGACTTAAAGGCTTTGTAAACTGTTTATCTAAAAGGAAAAAAAAAAAGTCTCTCTCTTTAACAGCAATTTCAGAGGGTAACATTTCTACGTAGGAAGTTCTGTTAAAGTTGACAGATCTTTGCCAAGCTAAAAAGGTATGCCAAATGCTCATAATAGTTTTGTCTTTTGCAAGTGCTGCTAATAGTTCTGTTCATTTCACAGGAGTCCTGCTTTTTCCTGAGCCCTTACCTCTGGTAATTCTGGTGGTTAGCTGAAGCTATCTTTTAGTCAAAACTGTCTAGAAATTATTGCTCAAACCGCCTCGATACTGATAGCATCAAGATGAAAAGATGAAGAGCAGACTGTATTTTTAAGTTATGTAGCTTAAAAAGTAAAGACATTCAAGCTAAACCACTTCATGCTAAACCACTTCATAAGCCATCCAAGTAAAACTACCTTGGTGCTAAAACTTGCAAATCGAATATGTGCATAAGTTAAGGAATTTGGAATACTGCTATGTTTTTAAACGTGTGTGTGCGTGTGTAATTTTACAAAAAGAAGCCTTTATATTTTATCAGAACTTGAGTGCTTACAAAGCAAATGTAAAATTCAGTTCAAATAGATTGGGTTTGTTTTTCTGTTAGTTGTGATGGTATCATCAAATCAAATAATATAGTTAATGAACATTAAAGCCAAAAAAAAAACCCAAAAGAAAACAAATGGGCAATGATGGGAAAGTAATAGCTGCAGTACAAGAAAGGAATCTAAGCAGATAAAGCAGATGAAATATCATGGAGCATCTGAAAGAAATGAAATGAAAACAGATTGTCATCAGATCCTTTTTCTTCCCCAAAAGTTTGATACCATTTCTTTGGGGAATTGTTTGCAAATGATATATAGAATATGTGTAACACAACCGTAAACAGACATGTAATTTGCCTCGCTTACAATCTGTTCCATGATCTTTGTTCATCCTAAGGAAAAAAGACAAGGTGCACATCTTGGAACAGGAGGATGAAGAAATAAATCAGAGCTGCAGTTAATAGAACTGTATTGGGACATTACAATTGTAAATGTTTACTATTTTTCCTTTGTGCATATTCCAGGATTTCTGCTAACTTCCTTCCTCTGTGTCTTCATAGAATGTTTATTATTACATTTTAACATAGATAAACAGCAAACAATACAGATAGTCTGTGAGAAAGTGTGTTTTATACACATTCCAATCTTAACTTTTGCTTAAATAGAGAAATATAGAAAGTACGCTCCCCTTGGCATGGGCAGCAAAGTAGTTATCCTCAGCTTTTCACTTGGGTTTTGTTAGTTCTGTTTGGGTCTCAATAAACAAGCAGGATTAAAGAGAAACCGGTAGTGGAGAAAATTATATGTTTGAAGTATTAACTGGTATATTCAGCGTTTCTTACATACTCTGTCACTGAGCACATGTTGCCCGTAGGTCTGTAACTGAGCTGTACTTAGCCTTTTATGGCTATAACTGCCTTTTTTTTTTTTACTAAAAGGCAGTTTACACTGCGCTATGTGCGTGTGAGAGGGAGGGAATGCCTTCCTTAAGTTGCTGTCAGAGCATGGGAAAACAAAATCCCATCATTTCTGTTGCCCTTGTTCCACTCCACTTCATCCATACGCCAACCGCGCATGGCCACTTGTCACTGACCCCTGCCTTGTCCCATTTTCTTTCCCCCTTTGAGGTTGCACATGTGTGACTGCACAGAGCGGCACTGCATTTGGACAGCGATTGTACGACATTGTCTAGCTCAAGCCATGCAGAAATGTGAGTGGCTCTGTGCAGACCCAGGGCTTAGCAGAGGGAGCGCGCCTTTATAGGTGGTCAGAGCAGACATGCAGTTCCTGACAAATCTTATTGTGTCTGTAATAGGCTGCAGAATCACTGGAGTAGAAATGGAGGATGTGAAGCTTGGGTGGGGATGGCTAAGGGTACGTTTTCGTCCTATCTTATATTCTGTGCTTTTTATGCCATTTAAATTGTGTTTCCTACCGGAATATAAGTATGCTTCTTTCAGTGCCGTTGCTTAGCCCACATTGTCTCGTTGAACAAAACCAGTGCTGCAATCAGGGCAAATTTTACTTTATAAAGGCTGAAACGATGATACTGTGCATTCTTAAGAACTGGTTAGCGGTCAAGTCAAATCTTCCTTGCAGATAATGGCTGTTCTGAGGGGAAATATGAAAATGACAATAGATAGCTGCTAATGGTCTTAGCTGAGTTACTCACATTTACTCATTTAACTCATATAGACAAGTAAAAAATGGTCACATAACTGACCCTTCACTTACATACAAGGTAAACAACAGTATAGTGAAGTGATAGTATAAATCAGAAGAAAAACATGTCTTGTTTGGGAACTACTTAGTCTTCTAGATTTGATCATACTGCCTAAGTGTATGCATAGTGATGACTAAAGAACAGTCTGAATAACATACATATACCAATTTTTAATTTTTACCCTTAAATCAGGATTAGCACTGTGAAATGGGGATAGAAAGAAAGCATGCAGTATAGAGCTGATGCCACAAAAGGTGCATTTCGTATATTTTCCATATATATCTAAGCAGGTTTTCCAAGTGTATGTGCCAGTGAATAAACCTACTTCTACCAAACATAATAAAACTCAGTCCACTTTTTAAAAATCAAAATTTAAATTTGAAAATATTAGGGTTAGTGCCGTTTAAGAAAAATGGGGACCATTCATCTAGTTAAGAATACAAAAATTTCTGTATGGCCTCCTATTACAGATAGCAAAATGCGAAGCATGCTTATGGCATGTCAGCTAATTGACTGCATGCATGGATACTGGGATTTGGATTCCCCCCCAAAACAAAAATTTATATGAATAAACTATGAGATTCTATAATAGGATAAAATTTAGCAAAAATAAAGGCTTATCACATTTTTAAAAATCATTTTCTAAGTAACAGGAATGTTCTATTTTATTGTTAACTTGAACACTGTTATTGCACTGTGGTTAAACATGCAAAATTCATGAAGAGAAAAATAATGCGGTTGTCTTAACATTATTCCTTTGTGCATATGCCTTACAATAAAATACTTAAATATAATCAGCTTCACCTATAAATATCACATATATCAGCTTCTCAGCTAATATATTTTAATACAAAATATTATATACTTTTGCATATTAATTCCAGGGAAAAAATGTCATTGCTATACGCCTGCCTTAACGTTGTTGTAATCATCTGGTCCATCTTAATTGTCTCAGGATCTGGCTGAGAGTTGCTGAGTAGTAAACTGACCCTAAGAAGAAATGACTTTTTGCAACATTTAAAGATTAATGTAAGAAGTCTTAACTTCTTTGGCCTGGTACACAATTAAAAACATTGGGGGAATAATGGACTTTGCCTATGGCAGTTGCCTTGCCTCTACTTAGATTCTATGTTTTTCTTCATCTTCTGACCTACCTTCCTTGTTACATTTCTAACGTTGTTCCTATGCTGTAACATCTCAAAATATTAATAAAAATACTTTCATAATATTTTTTTCCTAGTGGGAATGTTTCTGAAAAGGTGCTGCTGGTGAGGAACTAAGAGATACACACGGCTGGTAAGTTCTCATTGGTTTTTCTTGCGGTTTGCCTTTCCCTTATTGACCTCTAAGGGTCAACCTTTCAAGTATCATTGCCACTTATCGTACAGTCACAGCAAATCCAGCTGGAAGGGAGCTAGAAAGACCATTCAGTCCCTCCTCCTACCTCAAAACAGGACCAGCTGCACCTAAATCATCCCTGACGGATGTTTGTCTATCCTTTTCTTAAAAAACTCCAAAAATGGGGATTCTAAAAATTTCTTAGGCAATCTAATCCTGTGCTTCACTGCCTTTAAAGTGAGAGAGATTATTTCTCGGTTGCCTTTTTTTTTTCCTAATATCTAAGTTTAATGTCCCATACTGCAGTTTTCACCATTATCCTTTGTTGCATCTTCAGCAAACACGGAGAAAAATCTATGATCTTTCTCTCTGTGGGCACTTTTCCTATATTTGAAGATTGTGCCAGGTTCTCTGTCTCATATACTTGAAAATCGTACCAGGTTTTCTATGTCTCCTCTTCTTCAGATTGAACAGGAATTCTGCATTTTGGCTTTATATCCTTGTGATCCCTATTTCTTTCCTTCCCTCCCTCCTTCCTTACACTTCTTGCATCTGAAACAATTATTTGCTAAGATCCAACATATCCACATGAGGCAATAATGCATGTTTAAATTTTATGCAGTCATTGCAGGACCTGTCCTAAAGTAAATGCCTGCATCCCTTACACAGCCAATGTGAGAAAAGGGCAAGTGGCTGGCTTCCAGGAGAGCCTGTCTACCCGAATTAGGTGCCTGAACAGTACAGTATGTGTTCTGGAAAAGCAAGGGATAATGGTGACTAGAGGAGAAGGGACTGAAAAATGTGCCAAGATATCTGTAAAATTAAGAGAATATGGTGACTGGTAGCTAGTCCTATGAAGAAAATATTCCATATCTGGATTCCCAAGAAATCATTATCTTCCTTGACATCATTCTCTCACTAATTGGATTCATGTATTGAAGAACCAAGAAAAAAAGATCTATTTGTGAAATCTTGGCCCTAAAAGTAAAACTCTGCTATCTTCAAGGGAAATGGGAGTTCAGTGTCTTAACTTGTGCTTAGGTAACTGCAATAGGTACAGAGCCTGCTAAATGTAGGGGCGCTATGTGTTTCCTCAGGGATAAATACAGGAGCTTCTGCTTTATTTGAGGCCTAACATTTGGCCCATTGTCTTTTGTAGTGAGAAAAAGAATGAATTTTTGTGATACTGTAGTTTTTACATTTTTAAATGCCTTTTTTTTTAATGCAGGTCACGTAATTCAGAATCAAATTCAGTCATTTCAGAGTAATCATTAATATGTTGCTCGCATTTCAGATGGTTCTACTTTGTTGTGGGCATATTAGTTTGTGTTCTTTTGATATGTTTAATTTTTGCAGTTAAAGCTTTCTGAACTCACAGTGAGGTATTTGTACAAAGTTAATTAGCCCGTGCAAATTCTCTAACATCTATTTTCTACTTTAAAATAATTGAAATTGTCTTTTATTGTATGGTTGAAAAAAATTAAATCGTTAGTGATTTTTCTAGAATAAAAAGTGATCCGCACTGTGTTAGACTCTTCAGATAGGTTTGATCAACTTTCCTTAGTCCACTGATTGGATAAAAAGGAGAGAATTTTACTAAATTGAGTAATATATCAAAGACCAGATAGCTACCCTGGAAGAAAAAATGAAGACCAAGAATATGCTTCTGTTCCTTTCTGTAAAGCAGACCATCGATCTTGGAAGAAATAAGTCAGAGGACGATGGTGTTATTACAGTTTAAATACTGACTTTGCACAAATCAGGCCATCTTAGTGTCAGACAGGCATAGGCAGAGGTGGAGAGCTGAAAGAATGGAAGATAGAAACATTTTCAATAATTAAAGCCAATACTATTCAATAACATAGTCACAAGACGTTTAGTTTGAATTCATCCTGTTTAACTATAGACATCAAAATGAAAATGCAGTCTCCCAAGACTCCCTCTATAAACTAAGGAAAGAAATCGAAATGCCTTCACAATCCCATTCACTTTCTAGATGTATTAAACATCCTTTTCTCTTCCCTGGACACTTTAATCAAATGACTGAAGAAAGGTGAGGTAACAGTGGAACTCTGTCCCTCAGCTTGGGGTGGTGTTTACACATTGTTTGCAACCTGGTTTTATACTAGTGAAATCTGTGTGAATACTGTCAGAATCCGACAGATTGATGGTAGAAACCCAGTGGATGTTGTAGCCTTTTCCTGTTATTTGCAATTAAGACAATATGTTTTTCGCATGCAAAAAAGTTTTTCTAGGAAAGAACAAAAATCGAACCCAGGTATCTAGAGGTCTAAACTAACAGTAGCAAGCTCTGTTTGTACTTTCTGTAGAGATAAAACATAGTCCGTTATTACCTAACATGGCAGTTCTTAGTACACCAAATTTTTAGCAGCTGTGTACTTACATTCCCCTTAATCTTTCAAATTCCCAAATAATCTTTCTGAAGGACATTGCTGAGACATAGTATTATCTATGCAGTTACATGTGAAATTCCCCAAGAATCTTAATTCACAGTCTTCACAATGGGAATATTCAGGATGCAGACTTCTATCAATGACAGCAAAACATTCAGGTGATGAATATCAATAAATATTTAAAGGTGGAAGGACCATGGAGCCAAATAAATAACTCTATTCTTATAAAATTGCAGCACCAAAGTTTAGAGTCATAAGCAGACGGAAAATGTTCCTTAGAATATAGACATGATTGTGCAGGTCAATATTAGAAAGAAAAATGCCTTCTTTCCAAGTTTTTATGATAATCATCACAAAATTGTAGCAGTGGAAGGGGTATGCATGCTTCCATGCACCTCTTCAAGAGGCTGCTCCTAGATGCTGCCTGTCTCACTGCTGTAGATTCATAGTTCCCCTTGCTGCAGCAAGAGAGGCCGGTGAACTCAGGCAGATGTGCCGCCTTACCCCAGCCCTTGCCATGGCCTTACATAAGCACCCTTGTGCTGTTTGGAAATCAGCTGTGGCAGGGATCTACCCAGTTCTTTAAGTTACGCACATAATGTAAAACTTCTCTGACAAGTGTGCAGAACTGAAGTGCAAATTCTGAGTAGACCCTAAGAATCTTTTTACAAATCCGTCACCTGCTTGCCTCAGTCCCTGATTGATAGCTGTACCAACTCCATGGTTTAGGAACTTAAAAATAGAAACATCTGGAATTTCTTGACAGGTGATTTTTTTCCTCACTTGCAAAGCACTTGGGAATCCTTGAATACGTGAATAACTTTAAGTGGGAAAACAGATAAATAGCAAGTTGTATATTAAAATACTTGCTCAAGGACTGCATAAAGGTAACAACAATCTTCCTATTTTCAGTTCCTATTATTGTCCACTTTATTCTTTAAACCCTACTAGCAGTCAACAGATGCAACAAGGTGCACCCTCTCCTGACCCTTCTGCTGCAGTTCAGTGAAGCTGGCACTGGACACTAGCTGCCTTGTGATCGGCTTCCAGACGGTCAGCTCGGCAGATCAGCAGCTATTCCCTCTGGGTGGCAAAGCCCCTCATGAGACCACCTCTGGCCAATTCTCTGAAATTGGGTCTGCCAGGGCCCTGGAGCTTGTGGTTACGTTTCAGGGTCATGTCCAGGTCCGTCAGCCTCGCCAAGGTTCTGGTCGCTTGGAAGGCGTATACTCATTTTGATCTCATGGCCTTGGGCTTGGCCCAGTTTTAATTAGAGTGTTATCCTTTTAAAAATACATTTATGTACAAGTTAAAAGAAAAATCAGAGAGAGAAACCATAAACTCCATATTGAAAGTAATTGATGCAATATGAAATAAAATTTGATGAAACAAGATAAAAATGTAACGTATCAAAGGACGTAATTTGGAATCTTTGCATGGTAGTTGATGAACATCTACCCCTGTTGGCCTCTAATGCTGGGAAAGAGACAGGCGTATGACCTAGAATGTGTTGCCATTTCTGCCTTTTGCTCTGGTGGCTACTTACTTGTGTTTGAAAACTGGAACTGTTTTCGGTTATTCCCTCTGGAAATTGCCACGAACCAAAAGCATGTGGCAAAGAATAAAATATATTTATCTTTTTTTTTTGATATTTCCAAATTAAACAAAAATGAATGTTTCTGATTTTGTTGAAATTCTTGTTCGATAAATGTGCACTAATGTGACCACATATGGTGCTCTGAAGTAGGTCCTCTTATAATTGTTTCAAGAAAGCAACTTCATTGGCTCTTGCTGGAATAAAAAAATATGTTACCATCACTCTTTGCCAAAGGAAAATAGACTTAGACTTCTGATTTTCATGCATTACTTGGCAGACATCAGCCAATGCTATCAAGCAATACTATCACCGATGTATGATCCTGACGATCCTGATCTATGTTCACTCTTAAAATCAAATTAACTACTCCTGAGAAGTTTAAGTACCACTAGATTTCAGTATCAACAGATTTCCCAGTGAAAGTTCCTAAAACACAAATCATGAGAATTTTAGCAGAGACTGCCAATGTAAAGTGTCTTTTAGAAGGGGAGTAAAGAATTCATGTGCTTTAAGGAAGAAATATGGGTCTTTTTTCCATGTTTTGTAGAAGAACTGACAGTAACTTCCATACTGCATGCAATTGCATTGCATACTGCATGCAATTTTAGTAGTTCTAAGGGTCATAGACTAATTTAAACTAATTGTCACCCATTCATCCAGATCGTTAACCAAATCTAAAATTTAAATACAGGATATAAGAAGTAAGATACTCACTGATTGTGTAAGTGATTTAGGAACATGATTGCTTTTGACTTTTGCTTAGACTTGTGCTTCTGAATTATTTTACTGCTGCTCTTAAAAATCTTCAGCCCCTCCCCCCTCCCTCTTTTTTGATATCCTGCACTCTTCACCCCGAAACAATGTATTTTACGTCCCAATAGTACTAGTAAAGCAGTTTGGAAAAGTGACTACAATACATCTGTTTTACCATCGAAACTAATAGCATT